CATTCAGAAAAAAACATATAAAACACTAAACGATCCACACAGAGACGAAAAACTGCTCTTAGAGCAAGAACCTTTTTTTTACGCAAAGTCTTGCAAAGAAAAGTATTTATACACGCAATACCGCTCGCAGATGACAACACCCTCGTCGCCGCTCCAGTACCTGTAAATGCCAATGTTTTTATCTGTTGATTTTGTTAAATAACAAATGGTAAACGATTCCTATTAATAATTGCAAATTAGACACTTCAGGGTTATGCGCTTCTGAAAACACCAAGTAGACTGAAGGCTAAGGAAACTTTTCAAGAGCATCCCTTTAACTTACTTTTGTTGCGTTTTACCTTTCCCAATTTCATTTAGTAATGGGAGGCTGTTTTCAATTGGAATTTCAGGCTCGTTCCCAGCTTGTAATTCGTATAGTTCGTTGACTACTTCGGATAGGCTTGTTAGTTACGCAGCGTCTTCTTCAAAATGTGACAGTGGCTTGGGAAATAACTGGTACCGCTTTGTTGAAAAGGCTGGGACATCCATGCCAGAGATCTGCCCTCCTAGACGCCGTTGCAGCGCCAATGCTCCTGGTTGGTTAAACGGAAAGCACCCAACAGTTGAAGAAGGAGAGGTAACGAGGACTGTATGCTTCCAATACGGTGCCTCATGTTGCCGCTGGAGTAAAGATGTCAAAGTTTTTAACTGTTCCGGTTTCTACGTTTATAAGCTGCCAAATGTTCCATTGTGTTATTTGCGATACTGTGGCAAATCCCATGGTTAGTCTTTTTAGTTATGCCCCTTTTGAGTTCCGATTCATGACACCTAAGCAAGGGTTACTTTGCCGTTTCTACGTATAAAAATGATATTTTCTTTCGTTTGCGCAATTCAGTTAGTTACTTCATCCTATTCCTAATTTACATATGATAATCCCAGCTAAGATAGCCAATAATTTTGTGTACTGGTGCTTTAAGTTAGCCAACTGTTTTTCCTTGTATCTCTACCTGTTTGTGGATGGGCTTGATTGAAGGTTCATAAATCATTTAGTTTTTTCTTGTCACGACAAGCAAAACTTCCCCGGAGGGCTTTTTTGTTAGTAGTAATAAAGGAAACAAGTGTCGATTTTAATTTCCAGGCTGTAAGAAAAAATATTTTATTGCTATTCTCACGTCAAAAGCGCAGTGGATAGATCACTCACCTCCCACCAATATGGCAAGGGTTAAAATCCCTCGTCGACGCCATATGTGAGTTGAGTTCGTTGTTTGTTTTTCTCTTTTGGTCCGAAAGGTTTTCCTCAAGGTACTCCGGTTTTCCCCTCTCCTCAAAATCAAATCGTTACTTATTTTATTTAAGAAGCAATGTTAATTGGGAATGACTGATGCATCATGCTCAGAGGAAGTATTCTAAACCCTTCTATCGCAGTGGCAATACTGTGAATAACCTCACGCATCTTTTGTGTGAAGCTGTGTCTATTCATGCTTGTTATAGGATTTTACTTTACTGGGACCAGTCTCCATCAGCTCATTCCATATTTCTTTATCTCTTCTAACGAACAAACACCAGTCGCATTTGTCAGTAAACCAGCACGACCCGGAAACTCCTAGGCTTGTCATCTGTTGAATGCACGTCGCACAGAAGCTTATTGCTCGGCGGTCTCCTTGAGTAATTCCCTCTGTTGATCGGTTCAATCCCTTTAGCGATGAATAATAGGTGGTGGTTAATTGCTCAGGTTGCCATAAGGGCCGCCTCATTCCCTTCTATTAAGGAATTAAATGCCTTTAATGCATCTATTAGCTATGCTGCGTCAGTAATATCGGCCTCGAAGATGTTACGCACCACGCGGACGGCCGCCACACGTCCATTATTTTGACAAGCACACTACTGTAGTGGACCACTGACGCTGATAAAGTCTTCTCTCCTCACCCTCATCACGCAATTTTAGAGCAAGGCTCACATTAGAGGCCAAGATCAAAGCCTTGCCACCAGAACTTATTGGCACCACATCATTAAAGAAGGCAGAAAATGACAGCGCGGAGTCAGTAAGAAGTACGAAAAAACTGGGAAGTGTCTGGTTTTTGGCTGCCCTGAGCTTTCCAAGACAGAGTAATTTTTAAAGCATAGCAAGGCGGCAACCTACAATCAGTGGAATCTGTGCAAGAGATACGAGATAAATGCAGCAGTCAAGTGGTATGATCATGTTCCTGAAATGTGTTCATGTTTCCTGAAATCGTGAAGGAAGCAAACCAAACCTATGTAAATTATTTAATAATAATAATTATTATGATAATGACAATAGTGATAATGATGATGATGTTTACATTGATTGTGATAATGATAATAGCAAGTATTGTAGTGCGCTTTGTTGCTTAATTTGGAAGAACCGGAGAATGAGAGTTGTCGATTCGAACAAAAGTCGGATCCTTTCACCATGTGCCATGAGGACAAATTCTATTGAAATTTTCGGGTGTTGCGATTATACTATGGCTAGCGACACCTTCAGGAAATATCTTGCAAAGGC